GAAAGCATTGAAATCAACTTTAAATCTACCACCTAAGTGTACCCATTTATTGTTCCGTCAATTCCTTAGTTCGATCAATTCCTTATGTTTCCGTCAATTCCTCTATAATCCGTCAATTCCATTCTCGTGCCACCGGAGTGACACATTCACGCAGGTCTCGGTGACGCAAGGTCAACCCAAACCGCAATCTCGCAGGATTTAGGGGACACTAGGTCAACCTGATCCGCAATCTCACACCTCACGATCCGGGCGTCCCCAAAACCCGTGGGGCAGTCTCACGCTTGCTGACCTAACCGAAGGCAATGGGATGTCCGTCGACATCATTATAACCGAAGGCAACTCGATGTCCGTAGGCATCATTATAACCGAAGGCAACTTTTAAATCTGAAGGTAACATATTTATCGAAGGCAACCTTAATTAATCTTGGGTACCTATGGTGGTTTCTAAGAAAAGTATAGTTGGACCCTTTGAAGGTCCCTCCTGCGGGTCACCTGGTGCCTGGGTGCCTGCATAACCATCATAATATTTTATTAAAAACTCTGCTCAGTAATATAGTATTAAATTAAAAACCCTGATCCCCGGCTCCTAAAAGTGCGTGCATTACTATAAAGGTCAATCCTATGCCCACATTAGTTTTCCTCTCAATGGGCATGATTTAAAAGTACCTAGGGACTCAAAAGCGATAAAGTCCCAAAAAGTCAACCCGGGACCCCATGGGGTCCACGACCTCAGAATTCCAATCCGATCATTCCTAGAGGTTTCAACAAGCCTAGAACACCCGTCTTGAAAGTTTGGTCTCCATCGGACGGTCAGATTGCTCACGATTGGACTGGCGAACGATTTTCCGTAAACCTAGCCCTAGGGTTGGCTTTTTCGGAGCATCCGAGACTTCGATTTACGATCCGTTGAATCCTACACGATCCTTAAATTCCTACGCGCTTGTGAGGACACGAGGATCGTTCTAGGACCAAGAGTGGTCCCTGAAGCCTGACTCACGCGCCGCCCACGAGCCGGCAGCGCGTGGGTGTGCAAAGTAAATTCCGCAGGCCCAAACTCCTGGCCTAGGTAAAACTCCTAATTTGGAATCTCTTTTGTTCTTGGACTATGGCCAA